CAAAATACTAAACTGAGTCCAAACCGAACCTAAGCCCACCTTACCTACGGCCCAATGATCATGTGGAGGGTCCAAAAGATTTAATCCCACTTCTAATCCAATTAGGATTAATTATAAGCTTCTATGAGTTTCTAAAATATCTTAATTATCCTTTTTGAAAAGATAAGATTAAAGAGTTTAAAATTGAATAAAACTAATCTTTTTGAAAGTCCTAAATCTATTCGAATTGAAAGACGTTCAAAGATAGTCAGATATTATTTTCGTGCTTCATAGTTTTTATCTAAATCTTAGATGGTTAGATAGCCTTTGAAATTATCTTTCCAATGATATATTATAATATTAATTCCGAGCTATAACGAAAAAAATAAGATAGAAATACGAAACTCTATCCAAAACTGACACCGTCCCACTATTTCGGCCATATCTTTTATTCTAAAAAATATTTTAATCTGATTCTAATTGGGTTAGAAAGTAGAGTTCAAGAGATTTCCAACTATATCTTATTTATCTTATTCCAATTTCTGGATCAAAAGATATGATAAAAACAAAAACCGCAAAAACTGTTGTCTATCGCAAGAGTTTTATTCCGATTCGAACTCGATCTTTTCTTGATTCTTCGACCCTCTTTTTTCCCTATAAATAGAGGTCATATCACTCCTTTTTGATTCATCAACAAGATTGATCACCAAATCATTCTCTCTTCCTCTCTTCTACACCAAAAAATCATTCTTTCTCCCCTCTTTAGCCTAAATTCTAGCCACCATATTCTTCCATAATATTTCCCTTAAGCACTCTAGGAAGTCCATATTTAACCCGAGGTTCCGTCCTTAAACCAAGGCGCGGAAGGTATAAATAACTGAGGGTTTGGACCAAATCAACTCTACTTTTATTTAATTTAATTATTTCAATTTGATTTATTTTTATTGAAGTTACTAACAATTTATTCATGATGTAGCAATTCAAGGAAACACCGAAAGTGAGTAATTAATATACTTAGTTACTCTTATTTTTATTCTTGTTGCTATTATCATGATTAGAGTTATGATTTGATTTTACTAACGCTATTATTGTTGAATTGCTTCCAATATTAATGTTTATTCTTATATTTATTATGATCACCATATTGCATGTTTAAAGGGAATATGTAATTGAAAATAACGCTTAATAAGATAATTTGGACAACCGGTTTAGGTTCCTTTTTAATCTTGTTGTTTAATCAAGTGATCACAATATTTTAGAATTATATGTTGCATTAATATTCAACCAATTTAGCATAATAATAGTTTAGAGCAAATTGAATCTTTGTTTGTATGCCTTTGAGATCGCAGGAATCACTTTTCACAATAAGAATCGAGTAGAGGCCAATACGGGCGAATGTGACTCCATGACTCACTTCGTACCATCATCCCCGATCCTTCTTTCATGGTTCCGAACCATATGGAGTTAGTAATCTCATGGATTATGAATGGGGTGTAACCTCCACGGGTCAATCATTGTTGCCTATCGTTGTCCCTTAATCGTGGCTGCCTTTTATGATCCGTGAACGGTTTACAAATTCCTTAAAAACTTGTTGGCGACTCCCTACTTTCCTTGTCCCTAATCGTATATGTCACTTCCCATTTCCTATGAGTGTCAAGCATATTTACACCATGCTTTTACGTAGGCGCACTTCAAACGACGCCTACAGGGGCCCGGTGGCGAAAAGCCTTGAGACCCCAAAGGATACATAACGGGGTCATATTATTCCGTTGAAATCATATATGATCATTATATGTTGTCATAAACGTTCGTGGTAGGCTTGAGTTTACGAAATCACTTCAAGTTGTGAACGGGTAAAATGACCGTTTAAAGGCATTTGGATGGTTCCACCGAGCCAATTGGACACTTGGAGGGTATTAGAGACCATGGTTAACATCTCGAAAATTTTTATTTCTGGGTGAAAAAATGTCAAAAAATTACAAAATTGAAGGCTATAATCAACGCTTTTTGAGGAAAATTGAGGTTTCGGGGCCTGGTGGAAAACAACTTTGAAACCCTTTGGGATACATCTCGGGGTTATATAATGCCATTTGAAACCATATATGATCATTATATGTTGTCATAAACGTTCGTGGTAGGATTGAGTTTACGAAATCACTGCAAATTGTTAACGAGTAAAATGACCGCTTAAGGACATATTGGATGGTTCCACCGATCCAATTGTACTCCCGGATGGTATTAGGGACCATGGTTAATAGCTTGGCAATTTTTAGTTCCGGGCGAAAGAAGGTCAAAAAATTACAAAATTGAAGGCTATAATCCACGCTTTCTGAAGAAATTTTGAGGTTTCGGGGCCCGGTGGCGAAACGCCTTGAGACCCTAAGGGATACATCTCAGGTCATATAATTCTGTTTGAAACCACATATGATCATTATATGTTGTCATAAACGTCCTTGGTAGGCTTGATTTTACAAAATCACTACAAGTTGTGAACGGGTAAAATGACCGGTTAAGGGCATATTGGATGGTTCCACCGACCCAATTGGACTCTTGGAGGGTATTAGGGACCATGGTAAACATCTCGGCAATTTTTATTTTCGGGCAAAAAAAGGTCAAAAAATTACAAAATTGAAGGTTGTAATTCACGCTTTTTAAGGAAATTTTGAGGTTTTGGGGCCCGGTGGCGAAAAGTGGCAAAATTGAAAGCTATAATCCACCCCATTATTCGAGTACAGGTTGGGTTCAGAACATTATCGGTCAAGGTTGGGTCCTTGGGTCAGGTCAGTTTTTGACAGCTTTAGGGTCTCAATTCTTTTTCGCCACCGGGCCCCGAAACCTTAAAAATTTCTCAAAAACTGTGGATTATATATAGCCTTTAATTTTGTAATTTTTTGACCTTTTTTCGCCCGGAAATAAAAATTGCTGAGATGTTTACCATGGTCCCTAATACCCTCCGAGAGTTTAATTGGGTGGGTTGAACCATCCAATTTGCCTTTAAATGATCATTTTACCCATTTTCGTACATGCCTCCTGTATTGGCTATAAGCTCTCACGAGGCCTTTACGTTGTCGGATAATGGTCATATATGGGTCTACACAATATTATATGACCCCGGGATTCATCCCGTAGTGTTCCGTGAAATTCCAACACCAGCTCCCGACACCTCCTAAATCGCTCTGATTTCGTGTATTATAGTAGAGTTGTCGATTCGGATATTCAAGTCAGATTTTGGTTGGGTCAAATCATGTCTCGGGTTAAATTAGGATCTGGTTATGTCGGGTCAATCTAGCCTCATATTAGGTTCAAGTTCGGGTAGGGTCAATTTCATTTGAGTTTATTCAGGGCCGTTCACCTTTTCGGATATATGTCGGGTTCAATTCGAGCCAAATTCAGATCGGATTCAATTTCAGGTTTGGGTTGTGTATGAGTCAGGTTTGAGTGGGTTAATAGATGGTATATTCAGGTTCGAGTTAGTGTTGAGTTGGGTTTTGGTTGAAGTTCAATTCCAATAAATATGGATGTGCTCAAGTTGAACCTATATAATTACGCCTTCCATAATTTGATTAGTTTTATCAAGATTTTATTAAACCTATATATGAGTAATAGAGAACAAAAGGTATCAAGCTGAATCGGATTGTGGGTTTACAGATTTGTACCAGTATATAAGTTAAACAAAAGGCATCTAAATTTTATTAAACCTTCCATGACTAGGGTACAAGTTCTAATTGGGTCGGGTACTAGTTCGAACACAGATTATTGTTGGGTCGGATTAAATCGGTTGACGGTTACTCTCAGGTCGGGAGCAGGTTTGGGTTCAGGTAAAAAAGTATTGGATCAAATCGGTTATCGGTTAACATATGGTCAGGTTACAAGTCACTAGTTTCACCCCATTGTCCGGGTGCAAGTTGGGTTCGGAACATTGCCGGTTCAGGTCGAGTTCTCGGGTCGGTTCAGTTTTTGACAGCTCTATATGTAACTCCATTGCACGGATTGTTAATTGCTTGGACAGCATTGGAGGCATCACTTTCAACCTACTCGTATATACGAACATACCCGAGCCTTTTTGCCAAATGAACCCTAAATCTGATGGCAAGAGCTTTGGCAATCTCTGGTACAGTAGCGTGCACCACCCTTACACCTATCACAAACTTTTAAATTACTGAACATCCGTTATAAAGTGACAATAAAATACGCAAAAGTTACACTAAAACGCATAAAAGTTACCCTGATATATATGAGTTATTTATGCTTCATTGATAAATTTGACAAAAGTGACACTAAATTTGACAAAAGTGACATTAAATCTGACAATAGTGTACCCGATGTACAGTAAATTACTGAAAACCGGGTGTATACAAAAGTTTTCCTACAGCTATCAAGGAATGTTCTGGCACATCTTCTAAACTTGGCATACTTGCATTCAAACAAAATTCCGTAAATCATCTTGTTTTATTGCAACAAATGCTAAGGGTAAGTTTATCCCCAAGACTCAGACTTATGCTTCAGACTCTGCCACATCAGATTTCCACTAACTTTTAATTACTTTTTTATTATTCAGACTTATACAAGACTTTCTCCAATTTCACACATTATTCCAAGACCCACTCCAGATTTACTTATCCAATTAATATTTATAACATTAATTTATTTATATATTTATTAATTATTTTAATATGGTGAGTTGGCAACTCACTATTGGACAACATAATTATTTTTGTCCATTTGTATAGTCTCAAGATGGGTTTTAGAATCCAAAACTCATCTCAAGACTATATGTAGTCTTGATAGAGATTATTGCTAGAATCTTGCTCAAGACTTGTCTAAAGACTCATCTTAAGACTAGGGATAAACTTACCCTAAAGATCTGAAATGCAATTGAAAAATAAACAGCTTGTTGACATATGAGATGGTAAAACAGGTGATACTTCAACTCTTTTAAAGGGATGATTGCCCAAGTCTTGAAATAACGTAGTTTCAAAGTCATTCAAATTAGAACATTATTTCTGTCCAACCTGGACTACTTAGAGTGAAAACGCTAGCAATTAGCATTAATTAACTTGCTTAAGAAATGATGAAAATCCGAGTCGTGCATGAGAAATGATCAACACTGTCAGTACACTTCTCATAATCACATTATTCACATGAATCCTGAAAATGCCATATTCCTACTTATAATTTTAGACAAAAGCTTCTAGTCTTAAACTATACAACAGTTGTAAAAACAAAATTGGAATTGGATCCTACATAATCTAACTATAATCAATTCTTAGACTTCTCTTTCTAATATATATCTGATTGCCAGAAATACCAGTACTATCATCTCATCTTCTCTGAAAATTGAGGAATCTGATAGAAGCAATGAAGGCACCAGCAAACAGGAGCGTAAAGCCAAGAAGTACAACAGCTGAGACACCAATCATTCCAGGGCCATAGCCATAATGAACATCCAAATACTCCTTAATTGAGCCCTGAAACCCATCTCCAACAATGATAGTCTCAACATCACCAAGCTGTGAAGATATAATTCCACGCAGTGTCCACGCTACAGGACAGATGTAATAAAACCAAATCCACCACCCAGGGATAAACTACAGATAGAGAAACAAAAAACGGTAAGTGCAAGTTGCATTAAGATTTTTCTAGATTCCATGAACATTATGATTCAAGCAAAAAGGGGAAACAGAACTTACTCTTTTGGGAATGAGGAAACCTGAATACAGATTCCAAAGTGAGTAAAATGATGAAGATATGACGGCTGACATACTCTGTGTTGGCGTTAAGCCAACACACATCATTCCATAAAAGGTAAAGTAAGTGAAAGTAAGGAAAGTGAAGAGAAGATAGAGCACAAATTTCCCTGCATAACAAACAATGAATTATAGTTATAACCGAAGGATTGATACATGGGAAGACATCACCAAAATATTAAATCTCTGCATATTTAGGCCATTTACCAAATGCTAAAATTCAGTGAACAATTTAAAAAAAAAAAAAAAAAAAAAAATTATATGATGCAAAAACAGTCAACTTACTTAATGTCCTTTCAAAACCAATCATGAAGTAAGTGATGATGCCATACGCCAATGTCTGTGCAGCAATATATGGAACTTCAACAAGAGCCTGATTCGAAACAAATGGAAGCATGTAAATAGATATATTCCCTGATATGTTAGATACTCATGTTCAGTTGTTTGATACTCATGCACCTGACTGAACATGAGTATATCATTTATGAAAGAATAGAGATATTGATTGAAAAGTATTCACCTGAGCAGCTGCATAAGCAAGTGGAGTGTACATTCCAGCTGCCTTTTCTCTGTAGAAAACTGTTCTCTCAGTGGAAACTACTGGTTGTACAGAAGAAGCATTGCTGACGCCCAAGAACAAACATGCAGAATGAAGGGCTCCCATGATTGTAATCAGGTTAATGATTGAATCCCTTAAAATTAGAACAGGTTCAAAAGGAATCAACATAGGTATCCATATTGTAACAAATTGGTTCAATATAATAGAATGAATTTATTCCACATGAAAAAGGAATCATCATTACTGATACAGAAACTTTGGTAACTTATATAAAGGATAAGGAACTCTTTGGAATCAGAAAATCAGCAGAAATCAGATACAAGAAGAGAAAATTTATTATTATGAAAAGATGTTATAGCAAGAGAGGTATCTTACCTTTTTGAGCCAGCATCCCAAAATATAGAGCCAAGTACCAAGGCACAAAATGTAGTGAATAGGAATCTCACAGCATTATATTGAGGAGATCTCCAATACACAAGAAATTGCTTCTTAAGACAAAGCCAAAATTGTGATATGATATCTTGAGAGAATGTCGTATCAAATCGTAATGGTTCTGATCCAGGTGGTGGCATACTCATTTGCTCTATGAGAGCTTCTACCTCTCTGTAGTTGATACACAATGAACATAAAACAAAAACGTTATTGAGAACACAAATATGGAAGAAGCAACCTTATTTCAAAACAAAGGAAGCAACCCCAAAAAAATTACCTGAACTGACTGGAATTTCTGTAAATGCTGGCAAAATCTTGACCAAGTCTCTCTTCAACGGCAGGGGTGGTAATCTCAAGCATCCAAGTTGCAGGATTATAACCATCAGGAATTCGAGGGATTCCATTTATTCCCTGAGCAAGGAAAAGCACCCCAATTTTTCATTTAGAATATACACATACTTATCATACTAATGTCCAGTTTGGGTCACTGGAATAATAAACCCAAATTCGAAGGTACTGACACTTCCAAGGTTTTTTAATCAATCATCTCACCTGAAAATAGTCTATCATTAAGCAAGAGTGAACTCCAAGCTTTCCACCATATATGACTTGTCCACCGTGTTTCATAAGAAGCAACTGTGCATCAAAATGTGAAAGTCATAAAGGGTTTCAAAGATGCATGATTTTTTTTATTTGCAGATAAGAGCACGTGTATAGCCTAACCTCATCAAATGCTTCAAATATATCAATGCTTGGTTGATGTATAGTGCAGACTACTGTTCGTCCTGTATCAACAGTATTACGGACTGTTCTCATAACAATAGCTGCTGCTCGTGCATCAAGCCCTGATGTCGGTTCATCCATGAAAATTATAGAGGGGTTTGCAACAAGCTCTACACCGATGGTTAGTCGTTTCCTTTGCTCTGTTGATAAGCCAGTAGTACCAGGCAATCCCACCAGAGCATGTTTAAGATTGTCAAGTTCCACCAGCCTCATTACTTCTTCAACAAACTCCTGCAATATCATTGTAGCTTACTGATTAAATTCAGGAACTAAAAAATTAGGGAGCCATGTCAACAAGTAATGTTCAGCAACAGGACTAACTTTTTTAGTTTCTTTACTGATTTCTTTAGGAAGGCGAAGTGAAGAAGAGAACCAGAGCGACTCTTCCACTGTTACTTGAGGAGAATGTATATCATTCTGTTCAACATATCCTGAGATCCTGGCAAAAGTATGCTGCACTTTTGGATAGCCTGAAATCCTAATGTCACCTTCTATATATCCTCCTGTCTTCCTGCCAGCAAGCACATCCATCATAGTAGTTTTTCCTGCTCCACTTGACCCAACTAAAGCAGTAAGAACTCCTGGAGAGAAAACTCCACTCACATTTGACAGCAGCTGTAACTTCTTTTCTGGTAGACCTTTAGCCTTCATGGCCTATACAATTCATGAGAAACAACATCAAATAAACCTGAGCTATTAACAATTATTTCACATCTAACATAAAAGCATATGAAACAGGTGTCATTACCTTTGGCATGTCAACAAAGTAATTGACATTATGAAATGTCATACTAAGAGGTTGAAATGGAAGAATCATTCCCTTGTTAGAACCATTGTTCAAAGTAATCGCCACATCTTTTCCTACATAAGTATTAAGTACACACTCTTAGAGAATGCAATACTTTCAACAGTTATTATATATGCTTATTACGCTAGAGGAGAAGATGACTGACCTTCACCATGTTCAGAATCATCTGAGACATCATCTGGGATCACGGTTTGGGCTTTTTTTAGTGCTGTGATGAAGTACATACAGAAAACAACCCCGAATACAATTAATTTATATTCTAAAAGAAAGCAAGGCTTTGTTTTCAGCTCCTTCAAATAAAAGTCAACTCAAGAAAAAGAAATAAAGCATTAGGTGCTTACGATTCAGATAGGCCAAGGCTAGTGTAACAATGTTGTTGAACAGAAATACATACGCTAATAAAGCAATAATTCCAATCCAGTACCAATGGCCATCTGTTGGTATAGCATGCAACTCTAAAACATTCTGTCCAACTGTAGTGTTTCCTAAGGCCTGAAATGCACATATTAAGTTTATAAGTTTATTTGTTACTTGCTGGGAATTTTAAAAATACTCTGCAGGCCAGAGATAGAAAAAAAGAGATTACCTTCATCCATCTTGTCGCCGAGAATTCGTTCACAGATATTGCAGTTTGAGCGTAGGATAAGGGTGACACCCAGTATGCCCAAATCCACCATGGTTTTATCATAGCTGAAATGTAGATAAGCCAGTTAGGGTAGCTTTCCTTAAACTTACAGTATCTCATGTAACTTTTAAGATTCAAGTGGCTTACTTTTTGGAATAATAAAGCCACATAGACAGAGTATAACAAGCAAGGAAGCTGTAGAGCATATATTCGCAATGACCATATCTCTTGCCAGCGTAGCCACCATCCGGAAGAGACCCAATGCCATTTGGTGAATAACAAAAAGCAGCAGCATAAAACGAAAAAAGCTGTAGAAAGTAAGAAAAAATTAAGAGTAAATTGGTGTGACTTATTATATGAGACTATTTGCTTCTTATGTATCTCAATGAAGTTTTACTGGCCAGGCATACCTTCCAGCTGCAGGTGCAAATCCAACCAGGTAATATACAACACACGACCATGCAACAGATTCAATGACAGAATACGGAACACGCAGAACCCAGCTTGAAAGTGACCACGCCCATGCAGGATAGAAGCAATTGTCTCTTTGCTTGTAAAAGACCGGGAGTCGAAATATCATAAGAGCCAGCTCCGAAAATCCATTAAACATCATATGTGTGATCCCATAGAAAAGGGATGCAAGATAGACATTTCCATAAGTCACATCTGTAGTCAGTAGCCTTGATTTTAAAAAAGTTGTTCCTGTTATAAATCCCACTAATATAACCTGCCAAATGACAATAGAAAGATAATTGGTCATTTATGCAAGAAACATTTGATACATGCACTATGAAAACAAAACATTTGATTACAAAAACAAGACTTATGTGGAAAACTGAAAGTACTATGGAAAATTGTTATTGACTAATAAGTATGTATGACTACCATGTTTATTATGAAGCAAATCATGAACTATTGTAATCAAGGTGCAATAGTTTAGATGTGCATTTATACCTGAATGGTTCGGAAAATATACAGGAAACTTTGCCTGCGTATCAGTAGAACTTCACGGGAGAAACATGCCTTAAAAAGCTCCCATTTTGGTAATGCAAACTTTGTTTTGGACAGAGCTAAAGGATGACTCCTTGTTTTGTCATACGGATCAGATAAAGTATATCCTACCATCTTCCCAAATCGAGAATTTCTAAATGCTTCAGCAATTTGTTCAGCAGAAATAAATCGGTAAGGCTTCGAAAGATCTGCCCAATATTGCTCTTGATCCTTCTTAGAGGTAACCTAAAAAGAAAGGCAAATTCAAGGGTTAAATAACTCAATGAACAAGCCAAAGTTATTTTTAAAGACAATTAATTGATAAAAATCAAACCTCCTGTAAAAAGTCTGCAACACCCTTACGAGGGGGCAAGCGAAATCCTAAAGATTCAAAGAAATCCAACACATCTGCACGAGGACCATGATAGACCATATGACCTTCTGACAAGAGCATCAGATCATCAAAAATGTCAAATGTCTCAGGTGCTGGCTGAAGTAGAGCCATGAGCACCGTCCCGTCCATTTGGTGGACAAAATTCCCCATGCATTTAACAATCTGGAATGTAGTCGAGCTATCTAATCCAGTTGATATTTCATCCATGAAGAGTGTTTTTTTCGGCCCAACAATCAGTTCTCCTGCATTAGGTGAGATAGCATCAAAAGATTGCAAAGCAATGCATGCAATTAGGAAAAAAAAAAAAATGTTGACAACTAGTAGAGTCAGTTGAATGAAAGAATAGACACCTGAAGTAACTCTCTTTCTTTGACCACCCGAAACCCCTCGATTCATGTCATCACCAACTACTGTATCAGCACATATATCAAGGCCAAGAACTTTGAGAAGGTAATCTGTCGCAATGCTGTGCTTTTTTCCACCAACTGATAATGCCTGGAGTACATGTCATCAAATAATTACATTATTAGTAAACTCCTGAGCTTACTCTCTATGTAAGGGATAGAGAACAAGGTCATTTCTAAAACACAACCTTCATATACGCATCTATTTCTGGGTTCGGATGTATATTTGTTTCTTTCTCCAATCGAATAAGTTCCTCCATATATCCTGCAAATCACATACCATACTCAATACTTACAATTGCGAGAGGATAAAATAATTGACTCAAAACCTCAAGCATCTACTTGTTACTTTGTTCTTTGTTTACCATCTAGGACACTAAGAACACACAACACTGCAAGTAAAACGAATTTAAACACTACATAGGTTGCAACCACATGTTAGAATTTTCTGAACTTAATTAGTATTGTTACAGCATGTAACTTTCAACATAAATAACTTCGACCACCACTGCCATGCACTGATTTGAAGTTGCAGACTTTACCTGAAACGGATTCGCTTGCACCTTGACATCTAGCAGCAAAATCGAAAGTCTCTCTCACTGTTAACTCACCAATGTGGTTATCTGTTTGACTAATGTAGGCTGAAGTTCTTTGCGGACAAAATTCACTTAGCTCATGGCCATTATATGTTATATTTCCACTTTTCTGCATACAAAAAAGTCGAATAGGCCATAAATTAGTCTAATTCACAAAATTAATCAAGCAACAAGAAATACTGAAAACCTCAATTAGTTTACTTATCCACAATTCCACATAAATACTTCAATAACAATTATAAACAACAAACTAAGATATAGATTAGCAGTCACATGCATTGCAGTAAACTAAATAATGTAAAAAGAAATACACCTCCGCCCTCTTTTATTTGTCCCATTTGGATTAGTTACTTCATGAACCAATCTCGAATCATAAAGGAGGTTCGGGGAAAACAAAAGGGGACGGAGGGAGTAATTCGCATTAAAAGGATTATGCAAATTTGATGAGTAATATCAAATGCTTCCATTTCTTACCTAAGCATGTACAGTCATACTAAACAGTATTTAAATCATACTGAACACAAATATAATAATTACAGTATTATAATAAAAGTTGAAAATCATAGAATATGATTAAAGAAGTAATGTTGACCTTTAAAGAATTGTCAAGCTTTCCAGCAAGAGCTAGTAGCAGGGTAGATTTGCCTGATCCAGGAGGCCCCAAAAGCAATGTCATCCTGAAATATACCAAAAGTAATCAATTAAATAATCAAATATGATAGATAATTAATACCAAAATCAATTTCAATTCCGAATTATTGTTAGTATGACAATTTTTCTGGATTGAATTATGGGTTTTAGTGACCGAATTCGACAATAAAAGCTTCAAAAAATGGAATTTTTACAGTCGAATTCGACCAAAAATGCCCATCGAAAATGTCGTCGGAGATATGCGATTGCCGGAGATAGAAATCGCCGCCGTACTTCAGCGGAGTTGTCGAAAGTTGCCGGCAATCGGAATTAAGAGGGGAAAAAAGGGGGTTAGGTTTTTATTTCTATTTTGGGTTTTAATGACGGAAAGCAAAAAGGGTAAGCTTTTTATTCTTTTGGAGATAAAAATCACCTATATTTATTTTTGTTGGATACATGATTAACATAAACTTAATTTTTTTTTAATTAAACTTTGAAATTATAGGTATACTAATGTAAATAAGGTCTTGCTACATTTGTGTCAATGTATATTTTCATAATTTTTTCATTATAGTGTTGTATTTTTTTTTTTTTGAAATAATTATACTGTTGTAATTAGTAATAAGAAATCACATATAAAATGATGAAATAGATCTGATTTAAACTTATTTTTTCTAATTTAAACCTATCATAAATCTTGAATTTGTTAATTCTACAAAAGTACTCCTTTTGTTTTACAAAAAATTATCATTCTTTAAATTAAATTTTAGCATTATTCGCAAACTTTCATCTATAAGGTTTAATTTATATGTACTTAAAATATAGTCATGCTTACCTTTGTACTCATCTCAATACATACCTTAGATCAATTTTTTTATACTACTTTTGTTTCATATTATTTGCAACAATTAGACATTTTGATCGTTGCAAATAATATGAAACGGGGTAAGTAGTATATGTTTTGGTGTACAAACTTTACAATTTCATTATATCCGTAATATAAATCCATCAGCAAAGAAACCTAATTTCACATGGACTCACACAAAATCCAACCATCCAAGATTTCAGTCGTTTTAACGTGAAATGCAATTTGTTTGACTAAATAACAATTAGTATTTAGTACTATTAACACATACGGAGTTACTTAACTTGCCCAAACATTCTACATCTTATACAATACTTCTACATGTAATGCATGAAAATTACCTTCCAGGCTTGACATATGCACTGACATTATTCAAGATAGTTAATGTATGCCTTTGAGGTCGAGATATCCTCAAAAATTTTAATATACCCTGTAAATTTTACGAAAATTAATTAATCCAAATCAAACTTCATAAGATAATCTATTTGATTGCAACAATATAACGAGCTTAGATCGAAATTAAACCTCAATCTTATCACGAGTAAAATTAATCAATGTAGGTAACGCACGTTTCCCCGTTTGAACTTCTGCGGTAATATTCAAGTTCTCGAATCTCACTTCTACCTTTGGTAATTCCAATCCAACTCTACAATAAGTTTACATAAAAATTAAAATAAAACGATTGCAAAACTTTTTTATATGATCACATTTAACATGGTTCAACTCAATGTTATGTGTACAACAATTATGACGTCAAGAAATCAAGAAAAGTGCAAGGAAATCAAATAAATCTCACGTTAAAAATAAAAATATCCAAGATTTGCCTAACAAATTCAATTCATGCATGCTAATTTATAATCCAAAGTTTATTACCACAAATTAAATACCTTGTAAACCGTTCTTTAATACCCGAAACAAGATTATAATTATCTTGTTCAGAAGTTTGAAGAGCACTCTTTACAACTAATTCACGATGATTTCGATCAAGCTTAGTGACATCAATGGCAGAAACTCCCGCTCCTACACCCTCACCATCATCGTCTCGACGAATAAGGGCAAATTTGGATCGTTTAAACGAAGGAAGTCGTTCGATAGCAGCCCAAATAAGGTCATCTTCGTCTTTAGCAACTGTTTCGGCGTTTGAAGCCTTAGGGAAAGAAGACTCTAAGTCGTTAACGTCTAATTCGAAGTATTCGCTGCCATTCGAGGCCGCCATGGAAACACCTTCGTGTGATCTTTCTCACTTTTTTACGTGAGAATTATTGTATGAGGTTACAATTTTTATGAGGAAAAAAATAAAGGGTTTTTGTATATGTAATGTTGTACGGAATGTTTGAAGAGTGTATGTAGTTGAAGCTGAGTTAAATTCTATTTCTGTGTAATTATCTTTTGTTTTGTTAATATTTTTAAAATTAAATCTCTTAGCAATATACAGCCTTTTCTATTCTTCTAGATTTATTTTTTAATAAAATTGTGTTTCTAGAAGTTTTTTTTGCTTAACCTATTTTTATCCTTTCAAAAGAAAATTAAATATATGCCCGTAAATTATGCTTGATATACTGCAACATTGTAGAGTAATGAGCTGATGAGACCACACCACGCAAAGAAGATTTTGTGTTTGGTCTTGGTCATTGGGTTGCAAGTTTTAATTTATCATTACTAGTAAGGTTAGAAACACACGCAATGTGTATGTGACTGTGTGAGTAGTATAAGAGCATACGAATAATGATATTGTATTTGATTGATCGATTGACTGTATATTGTGAGGGATCGATTATTAAATTCAGGGTTTTACGAGTATACATTTGCTGATTTATACTGTTATAGATGAAGCCTTAACTGTACTGTGTCAATTTGTGGACTTAAGAGTAATAATCTCATCATAGGGAAATTAAGAATATGATATTTACAAAATAATTTAACCATGGAAACTAATGCAGAAAATGATATTGGCAAGCCTGCATGAAAGCCGCATCAAGTGAGTGCTACGGAGTGTCGGAGTATATCTGTATATGCTAATATGTCTACGACTCTTTAGAGGTTCATTAATACCTTTCCGGCAAAGCTTCACTCCATAAGCTTTATAAGAGGTCATTAATACCTTTCCGGCAAAGCTTCACTCCATAAGCTTTATGCATACGGAGTAGGAAAAACTTGGCAGGTTGTGTGTGATCATTGTATATGTGTATTTCATACTGTTTAAACTGCTAGGCTTGTTTAAGTGCTTAGACTTTAGATGTTTATACTGTTTTGATTACTGGGACGAGTACCATTTCTGGATAAGGGGATGCTCCATTGCTCATGCAGCATGCCCATACTGTCGAGAGTGATGCAGATCATCCTCTGGCGCTTGTAATTCAGAGCTGCAAAGCCTGCAATGGTGTTCCTAGTATGGAGTGTGCAATGTCACGTTGTTCATCAGTAGGTTTGTTGAACCCATGAAAGTGCAACAGATCCATGGAAGGTGGATCTACTGATGTCCCCTCTCAAACAAATCATTTTCCAGTAAATTGAGCAACTGTGCAAATCACAAATTCAGGGAGCAGGAACCGCATATAACATTACTTAAACTAACACGAAGTACAAAGTACTTAGCATCATACAAAGTGCATACTCGTATAAAAATTAACATCCAGCATTTACATGAATGTTAACCAAACTAAACAAGTTCCCAGCAGAATGAATCTCTATGAACAACAAATACAGCTCAAAAACAATGCCACAATTTATAGCAATGGTGATCAATGCTTTACTTGCAGCTAAAATTTCCTGATGAATCAACTACATAGACGGCTAAAAGAACAAGTCACTTATTTAATCCATAACAGAGCACAAAGATCATTGCTGTTCCTGTCATAACATAAATTACACCCAAAATCTGATTCAAGCAATTGATCAGCCCTGGATCAAACTACAAAAGTTCATCATATTTAGGCAGAAACAGGATATATACAAAGAACAGAGTGTATAAAAGAGCAACAGACTTAAAAAAAACAAAGTTTCCAGATGTTTTCATTACAAATAAATGAAATCTTAACCACAAAATTCGAGAGAAATTGCAAAAAAAGAAAAGGAAAGAGAAGAAGAGGGGGGTGGGGGGGGGGTGCTACATATTACATAAAAATTATGAAGCAGACGAAGTTTCAGCAAGTTTGCCAAATTGAAAGACCACATATGGTTCTTCCTTTCCAACCTTGCAACATCCAATTTCTATCCTCATCCACTACAAAGTCTTTGTGGTAATTAGCTTTCACCATGGCCTTTGCTCTACCCACAAGCTCCTTGTCTAATGGCAGCTGCTTAAATCCGGCCCTCACTGTTCTCACCTGCCACTGCTTGTATGTTTCTGGCCTATGAGTCCTCTCAACGCCTTCACATGCTATGACATTAAAAGCTTCTTTTCCATACACCTCACTCTCAACCAGCAGCCTTTCATGATCATCTCGAGGAAGAGTTTCTTCGAATACATCAAATATAGCAGAATAATGGAAGAGTGCCTCTCTAAATCGAGTGATGAAGAATGGAGCATTGTAAGTCCCATTGACAACCCCATGAATGAAAAGGCGAGGATTTATCTGTTTGACTAACTTCAAGAAAGCATCCTTTTGACTGTCTGCCTCAACAGTTTCATCTAGTAATGATACAGACCGGAACATACAGTTGACAATTACCAGCTCATCACCCCTAATTTTAACATCCTCTAGTCGTATGGTGTTCCACTTCTGTGCAATGGACTGATACTGGAAAGGCACATCAAATCTCTCACAATAACCTGCCAAACGACGCCCTGTTGCCTCGACTCTTTCTGCAGGTCGGAATCCTTGCTGAGGGTAGTCTATTCCAGTAATGCGAAGTTTAGGCGGCCCACCAGGTCTTTTTGCTAGATTCTGTATGAGGCAGGGCCATTGCAAACCTAGCAACACACCAAAATCAATTATGTGTATTGTTGTTGCTTTCTCGGCCAACTTTAAGATTGTATTGTTAGCCAGAAAAAATGACATCCTTTTAGCAGGAACAGCGGTAACATAAGCCCTGTAAGCTTTCAAGAAACCCGATGATGAGATGCGTGCATCAACAATATTGGCAGACATTGTTGAGCCGGTACCAGCCAAACGTGCCTCAAGACCATTAGCAAAGTAATGAGCAAGCCTTTGGATGTTATCACCATATGGAGAAGAATGCTGCCTTATTTGCTTAAGCCGCTCATTTGCACTTCTAAGATCAAAACTTGCAACTGCTTGAGCACATTGGGTGAGGAGTGTCCTCAGATCCACCTCTTCCCCTATAATATCCTGCTTCTTACCACGCGTTGTTTTACCCTTCACTCCTTTTTCCTGCATCTTCTTGCTCACATCAGTTGCTGAGGATTCTTTATTACCAACAGCAAGACCATCTTTATCTTCCTTGCATAGAAGTATATCATCATACTGCTTCATCTCAACATAATCTTCATTAGACGAAGCTTGCTGCTTATTACTCCTTCCTCCTCCATACGAACCATCATCTCTTTGATGGTTTTTCTTCCTCCTGGGTTTACTCACCACCTTATCTCCTTTCTCTGGGGCAAGTGATGAAATTGTGCTGGTAGGAGAAGTTGCTGCCCCATCTTTACAATCATCACTATTACTCGACCCCGATGATTGCGAATTTAGCTCCAAGAACGATTGGGAAAGATCATCTAAGCTCAGAAAAGGTTCAGATGGTGTTTGACTTTGCACCCAATTGGACTCAACACCAAAACTATTATCCCAACATCTACCTAAAACATCATCTGGGTTTTCAATACTTTGATCTAAACATGATGTAGGTTTATCAGAAGGTGAATATTCCTCTCCTAGAGCATCATATAAAGATTTCTCAGTAGCTTGGAGAGCCCTATAATCTTGTACAGTAGCAGGAATTTCATCCAAATTCTCTTCCAAGAGAATATCACTTAAAAACTTGAGGCAAGCATCAGAAAAATCAGGTATATCTGAGCTTATGAAATTCTTATTGTAATCAACTAATGGGGGTTTTTGATCAACCAAATCATCGTTTCCAAAGATTTCACCTTGGGTGATCCCATTTCCAAAGTTTTGATGGGTGTTTCCAAAGTTTTGATGGGTGTTAATGTTTGAAATCAAATCTGGGTTAAATTTGAATTCATGACTCACTAATTCAGGATCAACAAGAACAGGATACATCAAATGAAACCCAAAAAAACCAGGTTTTGGTTGTTTTTTCTCTCAGACAAAAGATCAAACAAGTGGTGGGTGTGAAAGTGTAATCGCCTTGAAATACAGATTTACAACAAATTAATGAAATCAATCAAACCCCACCAGCTATATGATTGATAGATCAATTATTTAGATGTAGGAACAAGCAATAAAAGCAGAAATTAACAAAACATCATAAAAATTGAAACTTTGGTTTTCTGGGTAACTATGGAAGTTACTAGTACTAATTTAGTGAAGAAAAAAAAAAGGATAAGAATTGCGAGGAGGAGTACCTGCAGTAACAGAGAATTGTTGAAAATGATTTCAAGATCAATAGTCAAAGGGGATGACCAGCAATCACTCAAAAGCCGATTTCATTTTTGTTTTAAAATCAGATGAGTTAGACGATGTTTTAAAAAATGAGTTAGAGATCCTTCAAGGAACAATTGAATATGTTAGACAAAAATAAATCAACTCTTTATTTATTTAAAAGCAAAAATCAACTCTTTTCTAGAATAGTGTCCCATAAAAAAATAAAATTGGGTCATGTGGTCCCGTGGCCCCGTGGGGCATGATATAATTTCAAACGGATCATTGAGAATGGTATTAATTGGTTGTTAGTACAGACGTACAGTGGTGATTGGGACTGCACGCCTCCACTTGATAAAGAGAAATTGTATGCTTGATTTCCTACAACAACAATTAGAAGGGATTGAAACCTAACTACTCATAACGGGGTCCCTAATCTGAATTATCCTAAAGAATAAATTGGGTAGAACACTAAAAAAAAATCACTAAGAAAGGTGTTTTCTTTGATGTATTTCAATTTTGAAGTTGCATAGAGTTGGGCATGCTAAAATTGTGGGCTGCTTGGGTTCGATATGAGCCTGGCTAAGCTTGTCATTAGACAAACATAACACGAAAGGCATGCTAGTGTAGTAGACCATATGATTTACATTACCATCGATTTTCAACATTTGCCTTGAATCTAACACGAGTCTAGCATACAAACATGTGTGTTGACCTGATTATTTCTATTTAATCGATAAAATAATAAGATATTATCCTAGAGTTTACTAGTACAACATGATACATGGGTTTAGCCATCTATATAACCCAACTTATGAGTAATCCACACAAGCTCAACTAGGTATGAATTTTCTTTAACTGACCTGATTTAAGGTACAACTTACTAAAGCCCAAGTCTTAGTGTCACGATATATGAGCTTAAATGACCTAACTCTAAGAGCACGACCATGATATAAGCATTGCTCGGCTACTCGTCATTTTGATCACATGTTAAATTTTTCTAGCATATCAAATTCCTATAATTTATCTCTATACTATGTACTCCCTTGTTTTTAAATACTTATTTTATTTCTCTTGGGCACGTATGCTAATGGCAATATTTTATTATAATATGTTTAATTATCAATAAGTATAAATTTTAACAATTGAAAATTAATAATCTATTTATTGAGACTATTCTAACAAGTAACCACGAGATTATATTTTTTCTTATATATAAATCACAAACATTAGTTAAAACATGTCAAATGAATAGTGTAAAAAGTAGATTGGAGTAGGTATTTAAAAATGGATTGAGTATATTATAATATAAACTGTATTAAGTTAAATGTTACTCCCTACCATAATATTGAAATGAAGAAATTATTTACAATTGTCAATTGACAATGTCGAATATGGTGAGACATGGGCCAAAGTGGTCTAGAAGGTTTCAATTGACTAAGGAAGTCTAGAATTATGTTGTTGACTTTTGCTTGATTGAATGGACGTCGGTCGTTGAGGAACTTGAGATAGTGTGAATGCGGGATGCGGCTTAGATTTGTCCAAGTAATTATGTACTCCGTAATACGTGGTATACTTCATCAATTGTTTATCGAAAATTCTTATACTTCCTCCTCTATAACATTTTCTAAAACTACAACGTAATGGACGAGTTGTTACAAAATCTTATACTTCCTCCTCTATAACATTTTAGCACAACACTAGATTTTTTTATTTTATTTTTTTTTTATTTTTTTTTTTTGTAGAATTTTTTGTATTTATTTTTTTGTGGATTAGATAAAGAATTTTATGAAAGCGTCCTTGGTCCTTAAACGACGGTATATTTTCTTATTCCAGGTTTGAAACTCCCCGTCCCTTACTTATCTTTTGAAAGCAAGAACATTTGCATAGAAACACCTCTTATAGAAGATTAAGCCAATGTAATTACACATAACAATGCTTGAGAGTAGAGAGGAGAGGTAAGGAAATTCCCTCCTCCGAGCAAATGTACTTAACAGGGCTAGAATAAAATTATAAAAAGTCACAAAGTGAGTTCTTCATCAAGTAGATTTGTGTTAAATATTACTATGCATGTTAACTGTTAAGACCCTTTTTATATGCATTAAAAATACTAAATGCGTATTTATTAAGACTAGTTTTGTAATTCTATCCAAATAGAATTCTAAACTTTTTTTTTTATCTTATGAAGTCTATTTAAATCTGTCAAATGTGACACGACATATGATGAAAAGTTAGAACGTCAAGTGTCGCTGTCTCGTGATCTGACTAAAAGTTTAACTTTATATATTAACTAGATGAAACCCGTGCGATGCACGGTTTGTTTGATTTTTTTAAAATAATGTATTTTTTTATTTACGAGCCTAAAATTTGTTATATATTTAGATTAAATTCCTAATATTAAAAGATAATATATAATATTTAATTAATTTAAACTTAAAAATCTCATTCGCCAATTTTGCTTACATGGCATTTAAATTATTTAATTCTAAAAGAAATTAATAATATCTTATTTAATTGGCTACTACTAAGATTTATAATCCTACATGGCGCGCTGAGAAAATTAGATCCTACGTGGCTCTCTAAAAACTCGGGAAAAAACTCCCCTTTATATATATATATATTAGATTATTAAATGATCGACCGGAATTTAATATACTTCAAAAAAAAAAACATTTTATATTCCTTTTGATTTTATTTCCTCACAAAAGGATTTCAATTGAATATAACAAGAAAATTTGAAGAGAGTACTACTACTTTGAAATCTCAAACAAGTACAGTACATGAATAGATTTGTCCATTACTCTTATTAGAAAGAAAAAAATACTACTCCCTTCATTTTTTAATAGTTACTCCGTTTTTTTTGGACACCTATGCCGTTATTAATTTTTAATCAATAATATCTTTGATTATTAATTAATATAATTCTAACGACTAATAATTAAAAATCTATTAATTGAGACAATTTCAATAACTAGATCATAAGGCTATTTTTTCTTATGTAAATAAATAAATAGTGCAAAATGTAGAAATAAAGCAAATAGTTAAAAATGGATGGAGTATTTGAGAATTGAGATGTAAGATTTGTACGAAGTACTCCGTAATTCCGTATAAAGGTATAATAATGAATTAATGATGTGGGCGTATGAGCAAACTTCTTTAGCTAGATGTATCATACATTCATACTTCATTACTTCGTACGTTATATTACCAGTGCGCTTACGTAATGGTATAAAATTAATCACTGATTACCATATTTAAAAAAAAAAAAAAAAAAAAAAAAAAAGATCATTACAAAATAATTAAAGGAAATCGTAAACGTGTTCTGGCATAACTTTGTCTGCCGGCATTTTTATAGTGGACTGGAGCAAAATGTTGGGCTCCACTAAAACTTGAGATAGATGTATCTGGACATTTTATTCATTAAAATATTATTAATAGGAAGTAGCCCAGAAACCTCAGTTTAAGGTTTGGATGATTAAAGTTGCATGAATTATTGGTAATTAGGATCATTAATCTATTAATTTGTTCTTCCTACTTTACTCATCATAGTCCATGCACTCACTTTTTGAATATGGATTTTTCAACTTTTTTTCCACAGGTTTTAAAAGCTGTTTTATACTCCGTTTCAGTTTTGAGGTAATGATATATACAGTTTTTAGGGTTACAAAATTTTTATTTATGAAAGAGTAAATATTTTTCCAATTAACCTTTATTCAATCATTCTTGTACAACTAATTAACTAACGATTCCTTAATAATACTCCAATACACAATATCATGAAGTAGTATGAAATGTTATAAACTTTACAACCGGTGTATCATTAAATTATTGCATTAGGTTTTTAATATGGAGTACGAGCTTATTCTGATTTACTGAACGGAGCTGAACTGAACTAAACTGAACTGTATAGAGCTGAAATGAATTGTTTATGAGAGAAGGAAATTAAGAGTTGAACTGAGCTATACTGAACTGATTGAAGTTAAACTGAACTGAACTTAACTAAAACTAAGCCGGAGAGAACAGGTCATGCATACTCTATTTATTGACCTACTTCATAATTTATAAAGATTGGAAACTCTATTGAACAAAAATGATAATCTGGTAATTCTATTTTCAGTCTAACCAAAAGATGTTGAATTAGACTAGGACAAAAATCAAATCCGACGGGTCGGGTTCACACAAATTAAATGTCATTATCAACCGTGTGATTATGAAATATTTTTTAGATAAAATGGTAAAAGTAAGATCATCATGATTTGGTTATTTCTTGCTCTCCAAGTTGCGGATAGAACTGTCTAGTGTCAACGAATGTAGCAAGCAAACAGTTGAATACTACATACTGTTTGAATATTCAACAGTCAACCCTTACTTTCCTTCCATTTTCGTATTAAATTATTAATCAAATGAAGTAAATTAAACTACTACGGAGTACGTAATAAATTAACACCAATTTTTTTTTTTTTAAATGACTAGTTGTAGGCTACGTGGGATGGCTAGTTATTATGAAAGTTATTTCGTTTGTGTTTAAGGGTTTACTCGACCAATGCTACATGGTTATTTTGTTAGCATTATAAAAATTACTCCGTACCTTGTTATGATGTTTGCTTTTCTGAACTTATAAAAGTTACTTTGTTATTTTATAAGCGGTCATATATATTGTTGTCAGCCGTAAATAACATATAGATAAATTAATAATATAAGAACTTTTGTTATTATGATGTATGCTTCTCTAAACTCTCCAACACTTGTAAAAAAAAAAGTTTTTATTCATAATCCAAAATCCAATCACATTAACTAAGCCAAGCTTGGTTTAGTGAAAAGGAGAATACATTTCAACCATGAGGTTGAGGATTCAATCTCCACTAGGAACAATTTGGTGAGTGGGATTCCCTTATCTTCCCTCCACTCTTCCAAATTGTATACCTCGCTAACCCGCGCCAGAAGGACCTGTAAGAGGTTCCGATCCGGTTAGGTCCTTCTTCTTACCAACTAAAATAAAAAAAATAATAATCCAATCACATTATGGTTGAATGGTGGATAAGCTCACATTAACGTGTAGGCTCTTACAATTTAAAGTCAAAAATACTTGTAATATTTTAGGATGTGTAACATCACTAACATGTCTTATGATACTTGAGTAACTTGACCAAACATCGATTAAAAGTTTAATTAAAATTATAAAGATACGGGGAATAAAACTAAATGATGATATTGATGACCCTCATCCTAATTTATAGGGGTAGTATCTGATCTTGAATCTTCTAAAGTAGTCAAAGTCTTACTATTTTTTTTTTTTTTTTTGGGTCAAGGAGAAAGGTCCTATCGGATTAGAATCTCTTACAGGTCCACTTCGATCCGAGCTGTGAGCTGTAAAATTAGGACTAGCTTGCAATTTATGAAACTAATAAATAATTAGCTTAATCATTGGAATTGCATTACCAAATTAGTTGGGCAAAGCTATTCGCTTAGCTAAGCTAATTAGCTTAGCAAATTGTGGGAATTAAAAAAAATTAAATACATAAAAAAAATTATTAAAAATGAGCTTAACTATTGTGGGATTAATTAGCTACAAGGTAGATTAGCTTTGCAATCCTAGGTGGCATGGCAAGCTAATTTCACAATTAACTTACCATTGGAGTTGCTTTAAAAAAGTACGGAGTAGTAGAAACAAAAAAGTTTATACTTGTATATGTTGAATTGCTGATCAAGAAAACCTTTGACCAGTGTTGTCCCCCTCGTGCTCAAACAAATAAGGAGTATTAATAATAAGGGAAATTCTATACTATACCCCTCAGGTGTTGGCTTTTCCAAGCTGTGCCCCTCACTTTGAAAAGTTCCACGCTGTAACCTGTAGGTCACACAAGTGATTACGCTGTACCCTTGCCGTTATCTCTCCGTTACAACTTTCCGTTAGTTTTCCCTTTCCAACAAAATAACGTTGGAAGGGGTTAATTTTGGTGGGAAAATTACCCTCCACAAACAGAGTACTCCACCTTCCTCCTTAAATAACCCTTCTTCAAAGAGTAAATTTTTTTTGGCAACTTAAATAACCCTTCCTCCTTAAATAACCCTTCTTCAACTCTGTTTTCCACATAGTGCAACCCAGGGTATGTTGGCAACTCAAATTTACTCTTTTTAAACTCCTCACACATCTCATTAATCACATCAATTAACAAACATCTATCTATATCATCAACCTTTACACGAACACAATTAGCACCATAATGGATTTTTAGAATTCTCTCATCCATCTGCAACATAAAACATGCAAGCATTCTCAAACCACTGACAGTTACACCAATTACCAAAAACACTACAGCAATAACATTGCAAATACAACAACCTAGGACAAAAATTACCCCCAACACGCATGGAAACAAGGTTTATAACCCCACCCACCAAATTAATGCATCCAAACCATTCATTCAAGCACATATGTAACTAATTTCAACAAATTACAACATCTAAACCCTAAATTTAACATCTTTATACATAATTCAACAACTATAAAGAGGGAAAATTTGGGATGCAATGGGTTACCTTCGAAGTCCTTTTACGCAGAAATCACCAGAAACTTCACCCACTTCAAAATCGCTCTTCGAATTTACCCAGCAAAGTTTCTCCAGTTCGCAAATCACTCTTCGAATTTTCGAATTTAGGGTTTTTTTTTTTTTGATCAGAATGAATGAATGAAACAAAATGGGAGGGAATTAAATGAAAATAGAGGGAAAGTACAAAAGTTAGGTGACGGCATTAACTATCTCTGACGTCCATCATTTATGGTGACTAAGTAATGTTACAGCGTAATCACTTGTGGGACCTACAGGTTACAGCGTGGAACTTTTCAAAGTGAGGGGCACAGCTTGGAAAAGCCAACACCTGAGGGGTGTAGTGTAGAATTTCCCTAATAATAATAACGTCAATTTCAACAAAGTTGCTCCAAAATCCTACACCCTCTTAAAAATACAAAATTATTTACTCCATAAATAACTATTTATCCCTACTAACTTCCCCAATAACTTTCAACGAAAACTAATAGTATAACTTTTGACCAACTCAAAGTTGGCAACTCTGAGTAGTTTGGGGACTATATTCAGGCCAATCAAGAGACTACCTTAACAATGTGAACTACGGAATATAAATCAATAATTCTATTGTTGAGATTCTTGAGAATGTTATTTATATTTCTGTTTTAAACTTCATTGTATGTGCACGGTGCACCCGTGTGATACTACATCAATGCATGTGTAATGTGTTGCTTTATGGTCTCTATCAAAACTTATTTTTATTTAAGATTTTTCAGCCTAAAACTTGAAAATGATGCTGTGAAATAGACTGATTCTGCAAGTCACCCCAAAAACAACATGATCTGAATTCATAATTATGTATTCTATATTTCTATATCATACCTTTTTTTTTTTTTTTTTTTGAATAGTATTCTATATCATACGAAGTACTTGACTTGAAAGAAGCTTCATTATAATTTATAAACATGTGCTCCAGTACATGTATTACAATCATCAATCAATAAGAAGCTTCTCTGCAGATTTACAGGAAGGCGGTATACAGAAAGGCCTCTCTTTTACAACATAGATTAAGACCATCTACAATACTTTCCCAGATATATCACACGAAAAACCTTCTAAATGACCTTCCAATAAGATCAAGTAGAAAGTGATCTGCAATAGTATAGTGACTGAGCGTGGTATAGTCAAAATGTCAGATGTGACATTGCACCTTGCCCTTTCTGAAATATTTGAATCTAAGCTCTTCTAGGCTCAAAGTCGACTTGAAATCGTAGACCACGAAACAGATGAAAAACTGAATAATACGTTCCATAATGATTACAATATTACAGATTGACATACATCACAAACATATGATCATGAGAATAGTTATAACTCTAATCAGGAGGGTTTCCAAAAGGAGAGGGCACAGAAGATTCTTCCCTTCCAACCTTGGAGCATCCAATGTCTGTCTTCATCCACGAGAAAGTCTTTAAGATAATTTGCCTTCACCATTGCCTTTGTTTTACTCACAAACTCCCTGTCTAATGGTACCTGCCGTAATCCTGCCCTTAATGCACGCTCCTGCCACTTTTTGTATGTTTCAGGCCTTTGTACTCTCTCCGCACCTTCACATGCTACAACATTAACAATTTCTTTCCCATACATCTCGCTCTCTATCAGCAATCTCTCATGTGCATCGCGAGGTAAAGTTGCATCAAACACTTCGAATGCAGAAGAATAGTGAAAGAGAGCCTCCTTAAATCGATTGATGAAGAATGGAGCAGTGAATGTACCATTCACAATTCCATGTATGAAAAGATCAGGATTCATACTTTTTATCAACCTTAAGAAAGCATCTTTCGGACTATTTGGTTCAACTGTCTCATCAAGTAGTGTTCCAGACCTGAACATACAGTTGACAATCACCATTTCATCACTCTCAATCTTGAGGTCTTCTAGCTTTATATTTTCCCATTTCTCAGCTATGCCCTGATACTTGAAGGGCACTCCAAATCTTTCACAATAACCTGATAGCCGGCGTCCTGTAGCATTAACCCTATCTGCTGGCCGGAAACCCTGCTGAGGAAAGTCTATTCCTGTAATACGAAGTTCTGGTGGACCTCCTGGTCTTTTTGAAAGTGCTTGTATGAAGCAGGGCCACTGTAGACCCAAAAATATACCAAAATCAATAATGTGGATCTTGGTTGCTTTCTCGGTCAACTTTTTAATGGTATTGTTGGCTAGAAAATAAGACATTCTTTTGAAAGGAATGGCTGAGACATAGAGCCGGTAGGCTTTTAAGAAATCGGATGATGAGATTTTCATATCACAGATATCAGTAGAGATTGTCGAACCAGTGCCTGCTAAACGCGCCTCTAGACCAGTAGCAACATGATGGGCAATCCTTTGTATGCTATCACCATATGGCGAAGAATACTGTCTAATTTGCTTAAGCAGCTCATTTGCCAACCTAAGATCAAAACTTGAAACTGCTTGTGCACATTGAACCAAAAGATTCCTTAAATCAACTTCATCCACCTTGATGCTTTGCTTCTTCCCACGCGCTCCTCTACTTCCATGACCCTTTGTCGTCGATAAACATTCTTTGGGACTTAGAGAGGCATCCTCCTCCTTGTTTTCACTACAAAGCAATATATCATCATACTGCTCCAACTCAGCATAATCTTCACTACTAGCTGCATGAAGTTTGTTACTTCTCCCTCCTTCATGATCACCATCATCCCTTTGGCGACTTTTCTTCCTCCTTGAGCCCTTAACCGGCTTCTCCCCTTTCTTGGGAGCAGTCGATAAGGGCTTCTTAGGGAAAACAACATCATTTACTACCCCATCATCGCCATCATCGGAGCTCGAGCCAGAGGATTGTGGATTCAGTTCCAAAAAGGATTGAACAAAATCATCCACATTGAGGTCTAATTGAGGTTGTGTATGACTCAAATTGGACTCAAAAGAGCTAAAACTCTTACCAGAAGAACTATCATCTAGGGATATAGTGTTTGGATCAGGAGATGACGGGGAATAATGAGATGAAGGAGGGTATTGATTTTGGAATGGGTATGACTCCCCAAGAGCATCATACAAAGATTTTTCAGTGGCTTGGAGAGCCCAATGCTCTTGTTCAGAGGCAGGCTTCTCATCCAAATCTTCTTCTAAAAGAATATCACTAATGAATTTAAGGCAATGATCAGGAAAATCAGGTATTTTCAAACAACGACTATTGCTCTCATTTTGATCAATTGAAAGAGTATCCAAATCAATCGAATCAGGAGCTTCTAAGCTGATTTTGCTCTCATTTTCTTCATATTCAAGGGTTTGAGGTTCAACAATTTCAGGGGTTTGAAAGAAATCTCCAAAAGTTGGGTTCTTTAGATAAATTGAACCCATTTCAGCTGGGTAGAATTTGAAGGCAGAGTTCATGAGATCAGAATCAACAAGTACAGAATTCATGGCAGAAAAAACAGAGTATTTATGTTTTTTGACACAAGCAAATGATCAAACAGGTGGTGGGTGTTACAGAAAACCCAAAACCCACCAACAAAATCAGCTAAAAATCAATGAAAAAACAAGGAATCAAGGGATAAATGAACAAATTGAAAGAAAGAAGCAAGCTTTAATTGAAATTTTGATGTAGTGAGAAGAGTGATGATAAAGTACCTGAAGAAAAATGAGGAAACTAATGAACTCAAGTTTGTAACTTTGATTTGTTTATAACCCTTATAAGTAGGATTGAAATTGTACTGTAGTAGTATTAGTATGAAGCTTCATGGAAGGAGCTTCAAGATAATTAAATATGGTCAATGTGATAAAGACAGCATTAGTAGAATGTTTAGTGAACCAAGAAAAAAAAAAAGGCAAATTTGAGAAATAAGTTGCTCGAGTACTTTTCTTTCTTGCTGCCCAAGTTCATAAATCCTAATTATTTGCATGTGACTATGATATACGAAGTATTCATATGTGAGGATAAAGTCTAGAGGAATAGTCGTTAATATTTTGAAGGGTTTGCTAAATTTAGATTATATATTAATTATAGGATGATAGTTGTTGCATGATTGTTATTTCTTGTAGTTATGACAAATTGAGACCAATTAGATGGCTACATGTCATTACGAAAGTTGTTTTTATTGATTTGCTTAATGGTTAAGAGGATACGTTTGTTGAATATCGTTTTATCGATATACTCGTAATATTTCAGTAGTATATATGTAATTTGATAACAACATTTTTGACTCAAAATACATATGTTGTAACAACTCATAATTCTTATAGCTTGTTGCATAGTACACCCATAATGATGTGTAAAGCATGCATGACAAGCCTTTAATTTCTACACAATTAGTGTGCGTTTTATTCGGCTGATTTTTACTTAATCACTTACGGTGATCGAATTAATCTGGTCATATTATAACTTATTTTAGCTATAAATTGAACTTGAGTGATCTTTATTAATTACCCATAAAAGAACTTATTTTATTGAACATATTTTATTTACACTTACTTGAATTTTTAACCCTATTCCAAATAATTATTTTTCTTGAAAAGTAAGTGAATATTAGGAGAATTAAACAAGATCTTAGTTAAGTAGTCTCCACGTTTCCTCAGCTCCTATGTCTATAATCCTTATTAGATTTAAATCAACACTAAAGTAAAGTATCTACATTTCGATTCAAAATTATTTCTATGTCTTTCTAACACAGGAGGATCATTAATAAGCTTTGCTCTATATTTCACTTCATATAAATATGATAGTTGTGTTTTATGGATTGTCTAATCTATTACAAAGTATTAATCTTCTTTCAACCAATGATATATATAAGAAGCATATTAGAATAACTCTAAGGGGGTGTTTGGTTCGCAGAGTGGTATGCGATTGGAATCAGGAATAGGGTTAAGGTGGTATTGGGTTGGAACTTGATACTTAATATCTTGTGTTTGATTCAATTCTGGAATAGAATTTCATCCCTTGAATACCATGTATTTGATATCTAAGAGGTTGGAATGAGCCAAACCCACCCCCCCTAAACCCCATACCTCATAGATTTGAGGTATGAATTTAAAATTCATATTTTCTTACAACCAAACATATGGCATGGGCTTTAATCATTCCAAACTCATACTTCATACCTATATTTCGCAAACCAAACGTCTCCTTAGTCTTTAACGACTGTTTTATCTTATAAAATCCAACTTTGATTATAGAGTAGTACAAATATCTCTCATTGTATATAGAGGAAAACTTTTACAAATTCATATCGTAAAAGTACCTCTTAAAACATCATATATACATGTATGTTGTTGTATGAAATATAATATTAATGCAGTATATTTTACAAGTAAGAAAAACCAATAATATTTGGTCAATGTTGATTCTAAAAAAGCTAGAGGAAACAAAATTATATAGATTCGGATGAAGTATTTTATAGAGTAACTAGTGTGTACTCCGGGCGATGCCCCGGGTTGCTAGCTTGTGTACTTAATTATGTTCGACTATTTGTATAATTAGTGTGTAGTGTTTCGGGCGTTGCTTCAAATGTCATTTTTTTTTACATCTG